GCCGCCCACCTCGGTCGCGCCCTTGTCGGCGACCTTCTCCTTTCCCCGAGCGACCTCTACCCGGGTGACCAGGACGTCAGGCTGCTCGACGACGAAGCCCTCGCCCGTCGTCACGGTCGAGGCGCTCAGAGGTCGGGCAGAGGGAATCTCATTTTCCCTAGCCGCTTTGGTCTTGGCCTTCTTCTTCCCGCCGAGGGAGATCTTGGCGGGCGGGGGAAGGGCGGTGTCTTCATCACCGAATTCTGCCATGGCTGCAATAAAAAGAGCTAAGTTAGTTTGATCAAGAAATGAAGCTAGGTCGGGAGGAACAGCTCGAGCTAAACCTTTCTTCTTTCGTTTCGACGGCTTGGCGACCGTCACGCCCATCGGTACGGGCAGGTACTTCTCCCTTAGCTCGTACGTGGGGGGCGGGAGCTTGGCGGCTGCGAGACTCTCGGCTGTCCGGAAGATGGAATACTCGTGTATTTCGCTCGAGATCCGAGTGACCGTCTCCTTGAGCGCCTGAGTCACGGCCGGCACCACTTGCTTTCTGAAGTGACTGCTCCAAGTGCGATCGACCGGGAGGATCCAGGGGTCGTATTTGATGGAGAAAATTCTGTTCTTCCACCCCTTGTTGTTCCCGGGCAGGCCTTTGATGGCGCACATATCTGCTCGGGATTGCAGCATCAGGAACCCGCCCCCGTAGCGGCCCGGGAGAACCTTGATCTGGTAGATGAAGTTGAACAACTCCATCGTGCACTCGGCCTCGTGCCGAGTGCATATCTGCGGAAAGCAGGCGAGGATCCGGTGGGCGTTCGGGCAGATTTGAGCCGGAACGACCCGATAGTACGCTAGAAAGGCCGTCAAGAGGGCCGGGAAGGGAATGGCAATCGGGGCCATTAGGGAATCGTAATGCATCCCGATCCACTTGCCCCGATGCCTGTCAATTACATTCCCCAGCTGCCGGCTCGTGTCGAACTCTACCCGACCCTGGAGTACTTCAGCAATCCGAGCCGCTTCGCCTTTGGTCAGCAGGCTCATTTCTTGCTCGACACTCTCGCTGTTCAAGAATTCGAGCTCGACGGCTGGTGTGGCCGGCCCGGCCGGGTCTTCTTCGGTCTGCTCGGGGGTATTTTCCCGATCACCCCCTCGAGGAGCAGCTTCCGGGTAGTCCCCAACCACCCGGGTAGGCGTTTCCCTAACGCCCTCGGTCGGAGAACCCCGCCCGCTTGACGTGGTTCTCTCTTCCTCTTCTTCGCTGGAGCTCCCCGATCCGCTGGAGCTAGAGCTCGACGTCCCGGAGGAGCTTGATGCGTTGTTATGCTCGACGGCTCGCTCAGGGGCTGGCGTTGCTCGGGGGCTGGCTTCGGGAGTGCAGGACATAATGTCCACTTCCTCGTCGCTGATATGCTCGACCTCCTCATCATAATCCGCGATCGAGGCGTTTTGACTGTCAGAGTCCGTCATTTCGATCTACCTAACGGTCGGTCGGGGTTAGTAAAGGACTTGAGACGTCCGGGACAGTTAGTTGACCTAGCGTTCTACCTATAGCTGAAAGCCTAAAGTAAAGAAGAAGGATTAAGAGCTTACCGAGTGGAGGGAGATTGAAGCTCGAAGTTCGAAGTTTGCTTGCTCGACTGCCTTGCTAAGGTGCTCTGCTCGGGACTCTCCGAGGGTACCGATTGATGCGCAAGAGTGAGGAAAGTTCAAATGTGGGCCTCAAAGGCCTATTTATAGGAGAGCATTTAGGCGGGAAAATGAATCCACTTGCGTGACACGACTGGCGCTGAATCCGAGGCGACGGTTGCAGTCGCAGAGGCCGGCAGTGGCCGACACGTGGCGAGGAGGGGAATGACAGCTGGCCGGTCGGTCTAATGCCTGACGGTTGGGCTTCTTCATCCCGTCCCGTTTTTTCCCGACTGATCAAAAAGGCCCGGGCTGGGGGGCTTTTGGTAGGGAATATCCCGACCGACATAAGCTCCGCCACGACCGACTCGCCTTTGTCTTTCTCTTTTGATCCTTGCAGGTAGCAGGTCGGGCTTTTTTCATAGAGATCCCGGTCGGGAACGGCCGGAAGTTGCCCGAACGCTGGTGTCGACCACCGAGCGGTAGCCCTTCGACGAAAGAGCTGGCACAAAGGACGCGAAAGGACGCGTGGCGGCTCTTCATGGCGACAGACAGGGCACCCGGGAGGATGACACGTGGTGGCTACGTGGAAGACATGCCGAGCAGCCGGAATCTTGTCCCCGACACAGCGGCTATAAATGCCCACAGTAGCTACAGTGTAGAGGACTTTTGGACGATCGATAGGTTGTTGTTAGAGAATCCCGACCGCACTCAGTCGGTACTCAGAGCAACCAAGTAGATTGTACTTAGGGCCTTTACCGTGATCAATAAAGATTTTACTTGCTTTAATTGGTCTCGTGTTATTTTATATTGCTTACATATAATTAGCAGTATCAACATTGTTTGGTAGGAGGAATAGAATTATTGGGAATGAGAAGGAAAAAAGTGATATAAAGACTAAAATGTCCTTGTGTAATAAAAAGAATAACAACCATCAAGCGTATTTTTGTCATTTCATTCATTTTCTCATTCCCAAAAGCATTGAATTGCAATTCTGTGGAATTGCAATTCCCTCCAACCAAACACTGTAGTTTGACTTGCAATGGAATAAAGTAGGAAAAAAAAATTACAACTACATCCAACTCAAAAACGTTAAGTGAAAATATTGTAAATTGCAATGTTTGTATTTTCAGTGGGTTGGAACAAATTGTTGCTTCAAACTTTTGAATAACCAAAACACTTTCTTTAGAATTTTGATATTTGGGTTACATCATATTTTCCAATCGTCCAATATCTTTGGGTTACATTATAATTAAAATTTTTAAATTTTTACTACATCTAAATTCCTTAAATTAGGAATTTCTTTATTCATAATAATTTATTCAACAATAATGGTTGAACTAAATGAACACTTAGCAAAACACCTAAAGGACTGGTACCGTTGATTCATTCATTGATCTTGTATATATCTGCATTCATTAAATATATTAGAACCCTTTGCAACAAAAATACTTGGTTACTATTTAAAAAATGTTTAGTAACAATTATAATGAATCTCCTATATTACATTGTATTCATATACTATGAATTACATATTTAAATAAACAAATTAGACATTAAATTACTTATGTTGAACTTCTCATATATAATCTTGCATTGATATACTTTCAAATATTTATTTAATTATAAACATTGGGTAGAAAAAATGACCGTCAAATTATTAAATCAAATGAATAGTTTAGAGTTTAATTTTTCCTTGAGATTTCTTAATTTATCCTTAATTATATGATTATCCGATCTGTTAACTTTTCCATTAAGTACGGTTAATTCACCGTTAGTTAAAGTCTAATATAGAATTATAACTACAACATTAATCTAATTCTAATATTAAAGTAGTCTTAATAGAACTCTAACCAAAAATCCTACTGCCGGAATCTCCTCAAACAATATTAGTATATATTTAATATTTTATGCTTTAATTTTTATTTTATCTCCCTTATGTCCCTATTTGGTTTCAACTATACCCATACAATTATTTTATTGACAATTATAATCAATCTTGACTATATTATCTTGCATTTGTGAACTTAGAATTACCAACTTAAATATGCAAATTCAACATTCAATTATCTATGCATGAACAATTTCAATATTAATCTTGTCTTGATATACTTTAAAATATTTATTTAAGAAAAACATGGGGCATTATCACAATCGCGCAATGCGCGTAAAAAACTAGTATATATATATTAATAAGAGCCAAAAGAAGTTAGGCCTATAATAAGTAAAAAAATGTCCATCAAATTATTAAATCAAAAGAATCGTTCAAATTGTTCAGATTTTAATTTTTCTTTGAGATTTTCAAATTTATCCTTAATTATATGATTTCAATATAAAAAAAAAAAAAAAGTCTTAGATTCGAACCCTATCACAATCAAAATTCCATTAAAAATTATATTCTCCGTTAACTTACTCATTGATTTCAATAAGAAAGGTTTTAGGTTCAAACTTCATCTGAATCAAAGTTGACATAATTAGTACTATAATTTACGCTTATTAAATTAAATAAATAATTTAGTAGGCTAGAACAAAAAATAATACATATAAATTTCTTTAATTTAGAATTATGTGTCTACAAAGGATTTGTACCGTTGATTCATTTATTGATCTTGTATATGCATTTCATTAAATATATTAGAACCCTTTGCAACAAAAATACTTGTTTACTATTTAAAAAAAGTTTAGTGACAATTATAATGAATCTCCTATATTATCTTCATATCTTGTATTCATATACTATGAGTTACATATTTAAATAAACAAATTCAACATTAGATTACTTATGTATGAACTTCTCATATATAATCTTGCATTGATATACTTTCAAATATTTATTTAATTATAAACCTGGGACATAAACTCATTCGAGCATTGCGCGTGTAAAACTAGTAATAATTATTAAAAAATAAAAATGGAAAGAGAAGCGGTATAAAGATTAAAATGCCCACGTGTAATAATAATAATAATAATCCGCATGGGTAGCTCAACTGGTCATAAAGGTGAAACTTTAGAAGAATGACTAAGGATCAAGGGGGCTTCTTGTGCGCAGTGAGCACCGATCTAGCAATAATCTATGAGAATGACAAGAATTCTAGTTTCACTAGAAATAGAATTACAGTTCTATCCAATCAAACAATATAATTTGACAGCCAAAAAGTTACATTTAAAAAAGAATTGCAATTGCAGTCTACCAATTTACCAAACGCCCCAAATACATCATATTAAATTTATTGGAAATACATCTCCCTCTTTATATCATTTTTCCTCAGAAGTCAATTTTACATTGCGTTATCTCCAGGAAACTCTTCAAAGGTTTGATCTTTATATCTGTAATCTCTATTCCAGATAATGACACTCGGTGCAGGAGGATCTAGGGTTGTTGGTAAATACTCACCTCAGTTTTCGTTCATTTTTCCTTTGAGCTTATTTTTAAGTATAACTACATGTTTGGTTGCACGAGTCAGTCTTGATCTTGTGAATTACATCATATGGCTATGAATTCTTTCTGTGAATTATCAATGGGTTAATGAAATTCAGTTTTGGGTATGTGCCATTTCCATTATTTGATGCTTTGCTCTCAGCTCTATCGTCGCTAAAGACTTAGGGTTTTTCCTCTGATGGTTTTTGTTATAGGTCTATTCTTTTTTCCCTTTTTGAATGAATTTGCTGTTTGATTTAGTCCAAGATATACGGATGTTTGGAGCTTTTAAGGTATATTTTGTCTTGGGGAAAATTGAGCTAGTGTGGAGGTCTTTGATCTTGATTCTTTGAGATATGGCTAGCCATTGCAGTACTACTATTTGGAGTGAAGATGTGCTTCGTGGGCATTAGTTTGTTGGCCCCCCATTTTCCATGTTAATAAAAAAAAAAAAGGACACTATTTGGAGTGGCTTATATGTACTTTTTGGTATCTTGATTATTTTCAATTGTATGTGTACTTTTGCAACATGAGCCAGAAATCAGGGTTGAATGAATGTTTTGATGTGAATTATTACCTTACCAAGGTACTCTGTAAAGGATTCAACTTAAAGGAATCAAAGATTTTAGTAAGGGGATGAAGAACTGAAGTGCAGCAAAGCAGGATTTCAGAAAGCTGAGGAACCAGGACTGGCGCTAGAGAGATTAAGAGAGCTAGATCAAATTGCGTTCATGGTTCCTTTCGTCTTGTAACTATTAATTATAATAGCTAGTGATAACTAATCCGGCTTAGGTAGATGGAGTTCTATTGTTATGTCACCTGAGCAGAAAGGAATGAGAACAAAAACAACAAACTTTAGAAATGGTGGGAATATAATGACTCCAACAACTAAATCCTCAAAATGAAGTTTTCTAACTACGTTCCCCAATTTTTGGTTTAATGAATTGAACCCTAATTCCGTAAGAAAAATGTGTTTCAACTAAGCGTTCTGCTATGCCAGGACTGCTAAATGATGCCATCCTTTTTTTTTTTTTAATTGTTTTACTAATGGGTAAATGCCAGGCTAGAAGTACATGGGTGAATAAGTAGAGAGATATAGAAAACAAGAAATGATCTAATAATGTCTAAAAGTAACAAAATCTAGACTAGATATAAATTTTTTTCTTCTATTTGTGTGTAGACTTTTTTATTATATAAATTCTAAAAGCTAATTGAAAAGTCATTTTGGGAAGAGAGAATGCTAGCCTTTCTGCAATTTAGGATACTTGACCAAATTATCTTAACTGATTATGATGTGGATGGATAGTTATTTGTGAAGAAAAATGTATGGGTTTGACTTATAAAAGATTGTTTTTTGGCAAAACGTCGAGAAATAGCTTCTGAGACTTCTAATGAGATTAATCAATATGAAAAACTAAGGGATAGAAAACAAATATTGGTCAATATCATTAGTGAAGAGATATCATAATCCTAATCGGAGAGAGGCAGAGACAACCTGGCTGAATCTGTAAAAAGTGAAAAGAAAAAACATATGGAGGAGATTAAATGGTAATGTTTATAGAAAATATAATATTGAGCTAAGTGGATACATTTATTATAGAGCAGGTGGATTTGGTAATTTGATTTCAATTATTGTAATAGTATAAGCGTTTCTGGTGATGAGAAAAATTTTTTGGACAAGTTTTTGGCCTATTTAGTTATGGAAAATGTTTTCCATTTTTTATTTCCAGTTTTTCCACAAATTTTAAGATTCATTTTGTATTGAACATTTAGAAAATATGTTCAAATTTAACTGTTTTCCAATTTATAAAATATGAAGGTTTGAAATCCAATTGTTGTCTTCACTGGTAGGTGGCAATTGTATTGAGTAATTGTTGTCATGGGGTAGGGATAGGTAGATGGATGTGAGGGTAGATAATTACTGGTGGTTGAAGTATGTTAGCAATGGAGGTGGGTAGTGGTAAGGGTAAATAGAAATTTTGTGGTGGGTGGGTAGGTACCTTACAGGGTTAGGCGGTAGGTGAAGGTATATATGTTTGTATGTGTTTGGAAATTTCTAAATTTCTTTGTTAAGTTGGAGGATAGTGCTTTCTTTTTTTTTTTTTTTTAAATTTTATTTTCTAATTTTAAAAATAGTTGATTTTAAACTATTTTTTGTCTTACATTTTTCTTTAAAATTGGAGAACTTTTCAGTTACTAAATAGGCTCCCCTAAACGCTTGATGTAATGGCTTATATCATGATCATAGGAAAACCTTGAAAAATGTTTAGCATTTGACTGATACAAAGCTGCGATTTTTATATCATGGTACTTGAAAAGATAAGCTTGAGGTTTCACTTTCACCATCAATATGTATAAGGAAACTTTTTAAATGGATGTTTTTTTTCTTCAATTCAATGTTAAAATGCGATTTATTTGTTAAGTATTCAATCAGCCCAATTGCATTTTCCCCACATTGTTGATTTGCACTGCTTGTAGTTCTACTCCTTTTGCATATATTAAGTTAAGACTTGTTTTCAAAAAAATAAAAGTTAAAGACTTTGATAACATTACTTCGTGTCCACGTTATTTTCCAATTCCAATAGTAGTTTTTTTATCAGTAGCTTACACATGATTTCTGGGACACTTAATTTGGTGCCAATTTCTGATTTGCTAGTATTCTGGGAAAGTTTCTTTCTTGATGCCTGACTTTTCGGCATCCTCTAAAAGCTTTGCATAATTTACATTGTGGGTTGTTCCCTATTTGCAGTCCCTCGGAATTTTAGGTTGCTTGAGGAGCTTGAACGTGGGGAGAAAGGTATTGGAGATGGTTCTGTTAGCTATGGAATGGATGATGCTGATGATATTTACATGCGTTCTTGGACGGGTACCATAATTGGTCCGCACAATGTAAGTTGTTTGTTTAAACTCCTATGTTTCTGAAGTGGTATTTTTTTTTTCACGCCTGTCAGTACGTTGGGTTAGAAACTTTTGAGGCTCCCAAGCCAAAATTTCGGGACAATTTGTACTGTCCTTTTCTAATAGTTTATTTTCAGTTATACCAAGTTGTCCTTTGATATTTACTACTTTTCATCTTTTATGAGGATAACAAAATTTTCTGTAACGATGATTTTATTCTCGTTATTAGCAGAGAGTGAGGATTTATGAAACAATGTAGCTTTCTGGGGTATTATACATTTGTGCTGATAGAAATTTATTGACTCTTTCCTCCCAGACTGTACATGAGGGACGCATTTATCAACTGAAGCTGTTTTGTGACAAAGACTATCCAGAAAAGCCACCGTCTGTCCGTTTTCACTCACGCATTAACTTGACCTGTGTGAACCCCGAGACTGGAGTGGTAATAAGGCATTTCATACTGTTAACTTGGTTATAATCTTATTCATGTTTTGATTTCTTTTCCTTCATTTTCTTATATTATCAGTGTTGCAAAAATCACGCAATCGGCGCCTAGGCGCTAGGCGGTCGGCCTCCTAGGCACCCGCCTAGGCGCTCTAGGCGGTCCCCAGGCGCCTAGCGATTTTTTCAACATTGTATATTATCATTCTTTTCTAAGTGTAGAGTTCAAGATTTCTAGTACGGAGAATCTGTTTTGATTATTAAGTACATTCAGAGGAAAAGATTAAACTACTGATTTTAATAGCATTCGAGGATTTGAATGAAATTTGTATAAGCATTAATGATCAAATATAAAGAAATCTAACCCAACAACGGGTAGTTGGTAAACGAGCTGCTAATGCATCAGCAAGGTCGAAAGATTGACTCTTTTATGTGTGCTTAGTGTTAAAGAGCTCGGGACCATGTTGGCACGACTTGGGATGGGGAAACCGGATGCTATATGCAAAAAGATTAAGAAATGTGGTCTTACGTTTTCAAGTTGTTTCTTATGAAGCATTTTAGCACTGTTAGGGCATCCCCATTTGTGCATTTTAGGAGAGTTTTTTCACGGGAGGAGTTTTTGAACAAATGGGGAGGAGGGGAGTTTTTTTGGGAATTTTTCTCTTGCAAATTAAAAATCTTTGTGGAACCCATTGGTTGGGGGAACATAATGATGCGTGCAAGAATTAACAGTTGGCAGTTTATGACAGGTTGAAGGCAAGAAGTTCGGTATGCTGGCGAATTGGCAGCGAGAGTGCACGATGGAAGACATCTTGAGTCAGTTGAGAAAAGAGATGGGTGCGCCGCATAACCGAAAGCTTGTTCAGCCCCCAGAAGGTACCTTTTTCTGATCGCTTAAGCTGCAAGCTAGAAAAGCTGCACAGTTTCTCATATACCCGTAAATAGTTTCAATTGTGAGCCCTAGTCAAAGTTAAGTTTATGGACCGACCTCCATGGGTCTTGGAACATGTTTCATTACTCTCTTCCGACTCTTTTGATGTTTTATGTTATGTTCAGTTGCACCAATGTTGACGTAGATTGGTACTATGATTATGTTGTGCTTATGTTTTCGCTCCTTATTTTTGTGATTCTCCCCACCCTATTCCCTAGTACCTAATGTTCTTGGTAGATCTGTCTTAAATGCGGTGTGCCTGATTGGATTAGTTTCATTTTGCGGGATGCAAATATAACGCAGTAGTTTCATTAGATCTGATGCTTTAGCTAGCGGTCAAGTGCTGCTGTGCTTGGATTGAGTTTGTAAGGCCACCGGAATACGTTCTGGGCCTTGAGTCCGACAGAGGTTTAGTCGAGTGTTTCTTGTAAGGGCCGAGGCTTTGCCTGGCTCGGGTTTTCCCCTTCCTGCTTCCCAAAAAAAAAGTACTCCCTCCGTCCCTAATTGATTGTCTCATTTGCTTTTTGTACGATTTTTAATACAACATAACAAATGTTATTAACTTTTCAATTTTACTCCTCAAAAGTAGGTGTTATTTGTACAAAGTACAATTGTACTTACCTCTAGAAACTTGAAAAGTCAAAAGGGTAAATTGGGAAATGTAGAGTGATAGTTACGTTCCATTTTGGAAAAATGACACTATTTTGGGACAAATTAAAAAAGAAAGTAAGACAGGTAAAATGGGACGGAGGGTGTATAACAGAGTATGTAAAAATATTCAAGTGTAAACAATTGCTTTCAAATCCATTTCAAAGGATACTAGACAACATAATATACAACAAAAGCATTGCAAATAAAAGACGACTATAGCCAAGTAGCTTGTAGCTCAATGGCACCTCTGTGGCTCTCCTAAATGGGAGGTGCTCTCCTAAATGGGAGGTCACAGGTTAGTATCAATAGACAGATATTACATTGTAAAAAAGATTAGTCGTGAGCAAAATTTATCTAGGGAAGACTAGGAAGCAATAGTTATATTGACATTCTTACTTTTTCTCCTTAATGTTTTTTTTCCAACTTAAATTTTTTTTCTTTTTATACAAATAAAATTAATTTATAGAAAATAAAAAATGCAAACATAATGCAATCACTTGGATAGAATGTATCATTTGCCACCTGCCCCACGGTGGGGCGAGCTACGGCCATAAGAAAGTAGTTTTGCAAGCATGCGGGCCTAACGGGCCTAGCCCACTGAGAGTTGCGGACCAGGCTTTATATATATATATATATATATATATATATATATATATATATATATATATATATATATATATATATATATATATATATATATATATAGATTTAGATTCTTGTGCGGGTGAGGGCTTCAGGTGCGGTTGTGCGGTTTAATCTGAGCCAGTCATCTCGCTTTAATCAACGTCCAGGATTATCAAAGTTTAAAAAAAAAATGCAGTGGCAATTTTGTAATTTTTGCATCTAGGTCAAAATTAAGGTGAGCGGATCTGTGATTAATGTGCGTGAGTTTTGTGCTTAATGTGCGACTGTGCGTGTGTTTTGTGCTTAATGTGCGTGAGGTCTGTGCTTAATGTGCGTGGGGATGTGCTTAACGTGAATAGTTGTTAAAACTTAAAGTCTGTGAGTGAATACTTAAAGTGCGTGAGTTTTGTGCTTAATGTGCGTGATGTTTGTGATTAATGTGCGTGGGTTTTGTACTTAATGTGCGTGAGTTTTGTACTTAATGTTAGTTGTTGAAACTTAAAATCTGTGAGTTAATATTTAAAGTGCGTGGGTTTTGTGCTTAATGTGCGTGAGGTTGTGCTTAATGTGTGTGGGTTTTGTACTTAAAGTGCGTGAGTTTGTGATTCAGATCTAACACTTAAAGGTGCATCTTAGCTTATACTTCTTTGTTCCAGGCACGCGTTTTTTTTTTTTTAATTTTCATTGATTTGAGCCGTTGATCTAAATTTGATCAATTGCTCAGGTTTAACCGCACAACCGCACGGGAAGCTATACCCGCACCTGAATCCTTCCCTATATATATATATATATATATATATATATATATATATATATATATATATATATATATATATATATATATATATATATATATTCGTGTGGTTGGGTGTGTCTCGTGCAGTTGTGCGGTTAAATCTGAGCCATTGATCTTGCCTAAATCAACGTTCAAGATTAACAATGTTTAAAAAAAGACAATTTGGTCTTTTTGCATCTAGGTCAAATTTAAGGTGTGTGATTTTCTTTCTTAAGGTGCGTGGTTTTTGTACTTAAGGTGAGTCAGTTGTTGAAACTTAAGGTACATTGGCCTAAAGCTTTAGGTGCGTGATTTTCCTTCTTAAGGTGCGTTGTTTTCCTTCTTAAGGTGCGTGATTTGTATGTTTAAGGTGCGTCAGTTGTTAAAACTTAAGGTGCGTCATTTTAAAACTTTAGGTACGTGGTTTGTGCTTTTAAGGTGTTTTGTTTGTGTGCTTAAGGTGCGTGGTTTGTGTATTTAAGATGCGCCATTTTAATGCTTAAGGTGCGTCTTTTTGTGTTAACCGCAAAACCGTACGAGAAGTTATCTTTGCACCTATATATAGGAAAAAGTTCAAATGCGGCGAGGCCTTCCTGTGTGGCGGTGTGGCGGTGTGGCGGTGTGGCGGTTTTTAGAATACACCAACAGTGTTAATGAAAGGCACCAACAGTGTAAGGGAAACACACCACAATGAAATACAAAAATACACTAAAAAATACACAACACATCCAAAAAAAAATACACCATATTCCTCTCTACCACTAATGGTGTATTTCTGAACATTGTGTGGTGCTTTTAGTCATACCTAATAGTGTGTTGTTAGTGATGCGTACCTAATTTGTATATATTTTTTGTGGTGGATTTCCTAACGTTGATGGTGTATATCTTGCTTAACTATTGGTGTATTCTGAAAATCGTCGCACGACCGTACGGGAAGGGGTCGCCGCACCTGAACTCGCCTCTATGTATAAAATGTTTGAGTTGAATTAAAAATTAAAAATTTGTTAAAATTAAATCGATATTAAATATTTTGATATTATTAGATCATCAACTTTAATATCCACATTATTTAGATGGAAATTTAATTTAAATAATCTGAACAATGTAATATTAATATAATTTTTTTTTTCAAACAATATTTATTATTTTCACAGAGCAAGTAAATATTCATCACAAATTCACAACTAATACAATATTCATTAAGTATGTGAGGCTGGATTCACACTAATTAATGTACTAATTATAATCTCACCAATATCCTTGTTGTCAGGTCATAAATCATATCACTACATACAATTCGTATTGGATCATTCATTAATTCATATACAAATTAGTTAACAACTTTAATTTTATGGTTTAAAAAAAAAAAATTACTGTGCATTTTCGAAAAGTTGATTTTTTAATCTTCAAAAACAAAAGTTGATTTCTTAATGTGACAATGCTATATTTACAAGACGAGGCTTTTTTTTTTTTTTTTTTTTTTGAAATACTAATTCTTCACAAAATAGTATTTGTTCTATATTAACCCAAAGAGTAGTATATGTTCTATGGCAAATTATGTTGTGCATCCATGGTGCACACGGATGCAAAAACGACGTCATTTTGATTAAAAATGTGTGTCCACTTAAAAAAAAAAATTCAGTTTCGATTCCCAGCAACAGCATTATGTTGTTCATTCATTCTAGATTTTTAGTTCATTTATTCTGGATTTTTAGTTATGAAATTATGGATGTGTAGTTATGTAATTCTGGATTTATAGTTATGAAGTTATGGATGTGTAATTATGTATGGTGTAGTTATGCAATTCTGGATTTATAGTTATGAAGTTATGGATGTAAAATTTAAAACATAACTTCTAAACATTAAATCATAAAATTAATTATAAAAAAAAAAAAAAAAAAAAAAACCTCACATTTTGATTGTAAATTTAGGAGAGCAAAAACCTAATTTGAAGAAATATGCTCGCAAGTTATTGAAAAGAGTCACATATTGCTTTAAATTTGACAGCAAAACATGAATTACCAATTTTACCCTTCATTTTAACACTCACTTAACACCAAAACTAACGAATGACCATTTTGGCTTAAAATTCAATAGTTGTAGAACCACTTTGGGTACAATTAAAAGTCAAGGAACCAATTTGAGAAAATGCTATAGTCAGGGGACCATTTTGAGAATTAACTCTTTGAAAATATTAATAGTTAAGGACCAAATTTGATACATATACAATAGTTAAGGGACCAAATGTGATTTTGTTTTAGCAACTTCCCTATTTAGTTAATCTAATAAATGCTGATATAAAACAGCCATACAATAATTAAGAGAGAAAAATTATTTATATAACCATTAACCAAGTTGGTTATATGGTTGACCAATCACTATATTTAGGGGTGGGCATAATTTGGATTATCTGAACTACTACCTGAAATTCAAACTGAATTTTAAATTTCGAGTGAATCTGATTAGTTATTGGTTTGGATATTTTAAAATTTGGTATATTCAAATATAAATTTGGTTCAGATATCGAGCGTTAAAAGTTTATCCATACCCGAACTAACAAAAAATTTATTATAAATATAATAATATAAATTATATATTTAATTTTAAATGTATTTCATAATTAATAATATATTAATTCTCAAAAGTCTCTTAATTAGTAATTAGTATTTTGTCTTATTTTTAGTTTGATAGTATATGGATCGATATAAATACAAAAATAATAAAATCGTTAAAAAACTCAATATTGATACAAATAAAATTTTGGGTATATTCAAACTAACCCGAAATAGTTTCACTCGAATCGAATATATCCGAATTAAATTTGGTTTGAATATCGGGTTTAAAAAAAAAAAAAAAAAAAAAACACCCAAAATTTTCGAATATCCGAAATAAAATTTGGGTGTCACCCGAACCAAACCGGCGCTCACCCCTAACTATACTATGTACCACTGACATAAGGTACATTTTTAGTATATTGAGGATTCATTTTCACTTGTGGCCTGGGTTCATTATTTGGTTCACAATATAATTTGTTAGTCAGCTATTAGTAACCTAGGCTGATTTATCTCTTTTGGTTCTTTATCGGCTAGAGTCACAACTCACAAGGCGAGGTTTACCTAGTGCATACCTTCGGATAGTTGTTGTGGGGATTCCTCGTTATTCATTCAAAATTATTCATATAATAATATTAAGAAAAATGTCACTTTTAGTATCACAATTGTGACCGTTGTATATATAGATTCAGTCTTTCAATCTGAAAAGTGGTAGAATTAATCACTTTATTAAGTGATATATTGGTGGCAGTTTTGATTTTGATCCTTGAATGATGGAATCCATAACTTTAATAATAACTTGAGGGATTAAATCTATATATATTTCAAGTAATTGAATGAGTTAAATATATACATTAGTTACAAGTTTACACCCCAAAGCCTAAAAGTGTCATTTGTTATAATATTATATAAAAAATTCATATAATAATTTAAACACGCATGTGAATCTTTCCTGGTAAAAGTATCAACTGTACAATAATAGACCAACGCCATATATAGAAATTATGCACTGTTCATCATCATTTCCATTAAACCAGCCACGTTAATTAGTTCATGCATTGAAGGTGTGAAGCTAATATCATAAAATCTCCCATTAAGGCATTAAACCATCACTAAATCAAAGCTGCACCAAAAATTCTTTACATGTATTATAAATATAGTTAAACAAAAGACAAAAAGCTCTCCACCCTGCAGAGCTAGCTTGATGGGCAAGGGCAGCTGGAAAGCCTCGAATACCAAGAGGGCCTGGAATCCTCTCTCATTATTCTCCAGCAGAAACAACAACCACTCACAGTTACTGTGGAAATGGCTAATCCCCAAACCCTTTTTTTCTCTGCACAAGAACAGGCTAATCCAAGCTCCACACAACACTCATCACCGTTTGGCTGCATCCCCGGAATGGGCTTCTCCCCTTCTTGCCCAGGGAGAGGAGACACTGAAGATTCAGGTGAGTAGTAAACCCGAACATTGCTAGAACTCTCATACACGTTTATATTTGTTAGGATAAAGCTCCATCTTATAACTAAGCTAAAAGCTATAATTAGTATTTCAAGATACAACTTTATTTCATTATACTTGTCTAGCAGCCAATGTCACATTTTGAAAGGCAATTTCAAGTGCTGGACTTAGCCCTCGCCTTTACCCAACAACACTTAGTGATCACCTGGTACTGGACAAAGCCCTTCAGGTGTTTGCCCAGATGCTGGACTTGACTCTTTAAGCCTTCGACTAACAACCAAACTTAGCCTTTCAGGCCCCTATCCAGTGGACTTGACCTTTTAGGCCTCAAGCTACTTAGCCTTTTAGGCCCCTGTCCAGGTACTGGACTTGACTCTTTAAGTCTCCGGCTAACTGACCATCTCATAGTTTTAGACTTGGCCTTTCAGCCCCAATAGTTATGCTGTGGAAACATGTTCACCATGCGCTTGGTGAATACAGGGGTAGATCTATAATTTTTATACTGTAGATTCATATATTTTTTTTGAAAATGTAGATTCATAATTTTGGTTTTCATTTGTTGTTAACGGAATAACGGGATAGATTCATTATTTCTAAGCTATAGATTCATAATTTCTGTACTGTAGATTCATAACATCTATACTGTAGATTCATAATTTCTATACTGTAGATTCATAATTTCTATATCTATATTATAGATTCATAATTTCTATACTGTAGATTCATAATTTCTGTATTGTAGATTTATAATTTTTATACTGTATATTCATAATTCCTATACTGTAGATTCATAATATTTGTAACAACAAATGAAAAACAAAGTTATGTAGATTCATAATTTCTGTACTGTAGATTCATAATTTCTGTAACAACAAATAAAAAACAAAGTTATAAATCTACGTTTTCAAAAAAAATAAAATTATGAATTTATAGTATAAAAATTATGGATCTACCCTATGTTTACCATGCGCATGGTGAACACATTTCCACGGCATAATTTGTGTTTCAGCCCTCCCCCATTCAACAATATTTTATATATTATATGCTAAATCACATATGCATGAGGTGCAGGTGAACCAGGCGCTGGCGTCAAGGAGGCTCTCGTTCGAGCTAGAGGAGTCGTGTTCGATTTTGGCGACGGCGGTGGGGTTCCCGTTCAAGGAGTGTGAGGTGGTGGCGATGGAGACGGCGGATCCGTACAGGGAGCTGGTGAGCTCCATGGAAGAGATGTTGGAGGTTTATGGGGTGAAGGGAGATGATGATGATGAAGGGAATAATAAGTTGGATTGGGAGTGTTTGGAGAATTTGCTGGCTTGGTACTTGAGGGTTAACAGCAACAGGATCCATGATTTCATCGTTTCTGCGTTTGTGGATGTGTGCTTTTCTCTTCTCTCCTCTGCACGGGATAATAACAATAATAATAACGATAACCATAATGATAATGATGATAAACATAGTGATCCATCTTGAATGCATGGCAACTAGTATATTTATTAATTTCTTGAAATGAAATATTATATTTGGATCACCATCATCGATCATATATTATATTATTGGAACTTCAAAATATATTGGGAGGATTTCCTGTTGTACGACTGTGAATGTAAGTGCATAAATAAAAAGTTGTTCCATAAATTTGCTCCATTTTGTTCTATATTAAATTGATTTTCATTTTATTTTATTTTAATTAAATTAATGGGGTTTTGGTTGGGTGTAATTGAAATGCAATTACAACATAATTTTTTAAATTTCAAATTACAGTGTTTGGTTAGAGAGAATTGCAATTTCCTCCGATTGGACTTATGTATCCCCTATGAATTGTAATTCAATATAAGATGGAAAGGAAAAAGATATGAAAATAACCTTTTTGCCCTTAGTTATTATTCTTATTACAAAAGGACATTTTAGTATTTATGTCACTTCTTCACTTCACATTATATTCTTAATAATTTAATTCTGTTGTAGTTTGGCCTATCAACTAGCTCAGTTCTCACGTGATGTTTGCACGGTAACTCGCCCGGAGGTTCATATATATGTATGCGTGTATACGTAAAGAAGAGAAAAAGGAGAAGAAGAAGAAGAACACCAAATGTAGGGCACAACAATATGTATGTCATTTCATTAGCCTTCACTCCATTATATAAGGTTTCATACAACCTTTCACATACTCAACATCAATACATGATTAAAGGTTAATCTATTGAAAGGTCTAATGGTTTAATGGCCACTAATAAAATATTTATAACACTCCCCCTTGGCCATTAAATAACTATACTCATGCCTCGTTAAAAACCTCGCTAGAAAAACTCAGTGGGAAAAACCTAGACGAGGAAAAGAGTACACGAAGTATGTCAAACCACTGTGTTGCACTGGTTGCCTCATTAAAAACCTTAGCCTAAGAAAACCCAGTGGGAAAAAACTTAGCTAAGGAAAAGAGTACAACCATAAGCCTTCCGGGCATAATCTTCAAGATTTCAAAGGCCTTCAGGACTATCCACTCAAGTGCACCATCATCGATTGCCTCATTAAAAACCTTAGCCTAAGAAAACCCTGTGGAAAAAAACTTAGCTAAGGGAAAAAGAGTACAACCATATGCTTTCGGAGCATAATTTTCAGGATTTCAAAAGCCTTCTAGATTATCCATTCCAGTGCAGTTAGGGGTTGTCACTCCCCCTGAAGATAACAATTTTCTAAGCCCACGCATCCCAATTTTATGAACATATTACTCAAAAATGGATGTAGAAAGAAATTTAGTGAGCATATCTACCAGATTGTTCACTGGGACAAACTTTCTCAACAAGAATTTTACCACTCTTCTGGAGTTCACGTGTGTAGAAAGACTTATGTGCAATATGTTTTGTAAGGTTCCCCTTAAGAAACCTATTACTTGAATTGCTCGTGCAACACAATCTTATTTGTCCTCATATGGGACATTGGGAGGGTAAACCATAGCATAACCAGTTTGGGACTTAGCATCATATGGATCAAATAAAAGAGCCAGCACCCAAGTAGCCAGCAAAACCACATATTGTTTGCTCACATAAATGTCAAAATCTTTATACCTCGAAAATGCTGGAAGATATGTTAAACACAATTCCAATATTTCATTGTAGAGGGAGCACTAAACTTTGCTAGCAATTTCATCGCAAATTCAATATCAGGCCTGATGCGACTATAGAACTTCTAGTTCTATAATAGTGCTCCAATAAAAATATCAAGTAATGGACTTCCAGTCCCATAATATCCTCATTATCATCTTCGAGTCTAAATTGTCCTTTATCTACTTTAAGAGGTTATTGGACAACCGTTAGTGTGATAAGTAAATAATACTTATCCATATAAAACATCTTCAAGACATTTTTCAAATAGGCTAATTGGTGTATAAAACTTCTTCAAGGAGAAGCTCGATCTTCAGGTCGAGACAATACTTGGGTTTCCAAGTCTTTTATTTCAAAACTCCGTCTTTCGGCATGAGCTGATATCACCAAGCTCTCTATGTGTTTCAATGATATTTAAACCATCAATATCGACTATGATAATAAACAAATAACTCCATTAGCAATTCTTTAACGAACACATAATGGTACATATTTGCATATTCCTTCTTCGGGAGGAAAAATACACAGTCAACTCAATCATTCAATGTGCATTCCTTCTTCAGGAGGAAAAACACTCAGTCAATGATATTCAATTCTTACAAAGACTTTTGTACTTTAATGATACACGTTGCGATTTTCACTTTCCACATTCCAAAAGTGTTGAATCCATCGGGAATTTACAAATAAATATTAGCGTCTAATGACCAGTAAATTACGGTCATGACGTTCATCAACTGCATATCTAAATTCATAATTCACTGCCAATAATGTTAATTTGCGGAACGTAATGCCATATGTTGTGGGAGAGAATATTTGATCAAAATTAATTCAGGGTCTCTGCGAAAACCCTTAAGCTACCAGTCTCGCTTTATATCAGACCACCGTATTGTTTGTATTTCTCTTTCGTACAAACACCCATTTGTAACCTACAGGGTTAACATTAAATGGTGTACGTGTTATAAAGAGAATACAATTTTAGCGAGCTGAGCTGTACATGCCTTAATTGCTCCATTATACATAAAAAAATACCAAGGCACAACTGGTGCCATGCTCTGGATCCAGATTCTCATATAACGATAACAATTTGTAAAGGCAATTCTGTTGTCGACAACTATAACATTTTTCATAAATTTCTCCCATATATATAAAATAATGGCAATTTCTAATTCAACCAGACTCTAGACATTTCCCAAAGATATTTTTATATGGTCGTTCCGCATCCCCAATATTATGATTTTGGGTGCACCTAAAATTTTACTGGGGTTTTCGCCTTCTGGACGAATGTCTTCAAGACATACTTCTTTAAGAGATTTCAAGAGTGACACCATTTTCTACTAGATTTAGCTTTCCGCGGATTATACCAACATGTCTCCACGCTTCTGGCGTCAAGGAGCATTGGTAGATACATATGGTCCAAGTTGGGGAAAATATGTAGGACCTAGTCACTCTTTATCAATATATATATTGACAGATTAATTATCTTCTGAACTTCTAGTTCAGTTTACTTCTTTTGAACTTCTAGTTCAGTCTACCTAGTACGTGGATTTAAATATTGAAGATCTTTTTCATCAATCATCCACAGAATTTCTCGGCATTCTATAAAATTTGAGATCTTATCTCCCCCTAATGCCGTGAAATGATCTTCATAAAGTGTGCAATCAGCGTACCTAATTATATATTGATCCCTTATCATGGGCTCTAAGAATTTAAATAACAGACGGATGTTTATAATCAACATATACATGCCCACAAAAGGTACGCTATGGTGGTGATATAGGAAAAAGACTGCACACTGTGAATAAAACGCAGATGGGAAATGTTTAATTTTATACCACGTACTAGGTTCTAGGGGGAATAATTATGATATGCAGTAGGTGAGATTGTGATAACCACAATATCATATAAAACTGATATTCCTAACAAGAAAATATATAATCAGATATGAAAGCATACATATCAAATGATATTATAAGGGTACACAACAATCATAGGGAAGTTGTGAAGCTTGTCAAATAAAATAGATCTTCAAGATCTTCCAAAAATCCTTATCCTCAACTTTACATTAGTTCACTCATTGGTTTGGAAGATAGAAGCGAATTATATCATATCAATTTGCCTGAAGCAAACGAAGGAATAAATTATTTCATATTAGTTTGCCCGAAGCAAATGAGGGAGTGAATTAAATCAATCATATCATGTATGACAATAAGTCAAAGATCATTTTTATAAAGGAGTATACCACTCCTTAAACATCACAGAATTGCACTAAGCCATATTCTGAGAGAATTTTGTCATGTTGACATCATAAATTTGGTCAAAAGAGGATTATCATAATTTGTTGATAATAGCAATCCTTCCGGGATTGATACAGAATTTATGGAACAAATAATAATTTAATTTTGAATTGGCAACCAGTCAATTGCATACGAGAGTCATGTTGCATGCATGAGAACAAAATTGAGTAAATAAGCATGCAAATTAAGAGAAGTAACTCTGAGAAGTAAACTTCCCGAATAGTACATTTCAGATAGTTAATCCGAGTAGTAAAATCAGCAAAGTAAAATCACATTGCCCTCAAAATAATTTGCGTCCAAAAATAACTTAACTTTTCGAATATTGCGGTCATGAATTTACTTTTCGGATGCTTCAGGCATAAACTAACTTCTCGAATGCTTCAAGCATAAGCTAACTTCTTGGATGCTTCAAGCATGAGCTAACTACTCGGATACTTCATGCTTCAGGCATGAACTAACTTTTTCGGCCATGAATATATTTTCATGCATTGTTCAAAAACATTATCATGACACCAATCATTTCTTCATCAATACCTCATCATTTCATTATCATCATTTATCGCAATATTTGCTTCAGGCAAATTAGCTAGAATCATCAAGATGATGTTCATTCTCCGATGACCAAATGCTTTGGTGTGCGGCACGTAGGGATCAATGCCCTTCACACCCACATTGTTAGCAAATCTGCTTCTGGCTAAGATTTTGCCTCGATAAGTTTGGTCGTCCTTGAATATCTTGATCACTTTGTTTCTTATTCTGAGCTCGAAACTTATACCACACTGGTTATAATCTCGACCACATCCCCTTATAACGTTACTCAACTAGGTAATATTATGTGCTCCAGGCACCTTTGCAAACCCAACCAGGCATGCATTTTGATTCTTCGTCAACAACTATTTATGTTTTTTAACAACAAGGAGTGCTAAAATCAGCTTAGGATACTTCTCATAATTTTGTGTCTTGTACTACTGCTGGAGTACAAATTACTCTCATGAAAAGTTGGCAATGTCTTTCCAATTAAATATTTCTCTGAAACTTCTTGTTTAGAGTTTCACTTGCGAGACTATTTTGTGCATAGCTGAATTATAATTAATCACTTATATTATAATCTCAAAATTAAACATGAGATTAAACTAGTCAAAATGTGTCTAAGGAAGAACATTTGATGACTTCTGGTC